GGAGGCGAAGGGAGGCGAAGAGAGGTGAAGAGAGGTGAAGAGAGGCAAAGAGAGGCCAAAGAGGAGAAGAGAGGCAAAGCAAAGTGAAACGAAGTGAAGCTAAGGTAATAGCTCAGTGGTATAGGTGCTTACTTAGCAAGTGCTAGGGCCTAAGTTAGGATGAGGCAGGATGAAGCAGGTTGAGGCAGGATGAGGCAGGATGAGGCAGGATGATTTTGCTGACAACTAATAAAAAGGCTAGAACCAAACCTTTGTGTTTATAGAGTAAGAATACTCATCTAGGCATTTTCAGTGCCTTGCTTTAAAAGATAAGCTACATGAACTTTTGAGGTTAAAGCTCATAGGATGGGAAATTGTTTAGGTATGTGGGGTTATGTTAGGCGGGAGGAGGGTAGCTATGGGGTGGGAAAAGGAGGAAAAATGTAATGTTTTACTGACATGAGGGTATACATATTTTAATTACACCCTATTTGGGGTGGTAGATGTAAAATTATTATATTTTGTATCTATTTTCTTGTTTTTGGGGTTTGGCAAGATAATAGGTATGATGCATTAGGATGAGTCTAGGTCAGAAATTGGCCTGCTGATTGCTTTTAGGGTATAAATATGAAAATAGTCCAAATAAAATATTAAGATATGTTTACATTAGTACACTAATCTCACTAATAATATTCAGACATAAATTGCAATATTGCCTCTAATTTGAAATGAAGAGGCGGGGAGCTGTGGCCTCACCTTCTGAAGCAGTGAGCTGCAGTCAGGACCCACAGGTTGCTGATCAGGACCCCACCACAGTGGTGGGCGCCGTTGACCTGCAGACTGACTTGCCACGGCCAGTCGCCATCCTCAGCTTGACTGCCTCCGATGACTCTCTCTGCAGACAGCGTAATCAGGTCTGGACGCACCCCACATGCTGAGGTGAAGAGGGCATTCATGAGACAGTAATTCACTGACATTTTTGCGATTGCTGCAGGCCTTCTCCAGCAGTTATGACTTTCTTCTGTGTCTTTTCCCTTATGTGAAATATGTGTGAGGATGATCAGCTGTTGACTGAATTCTAGAGAAGACTTACTTCTGAGCTGCTTTGGAATGGTTTGGAATGGCTGTGAGTGAGGGGTGAGCTACACCACTGCTAGATTCCTCTCGGCCACAGCCTCCCGGCAAATTTCTTTCCTCTCACTAGACTTGCTCCTCAAAATGTGGTCTATAGCTCTATAGTATGAGCATTCCATGGGAGCTTGTGAAACATGTTTTGGGGTGGCAAGATAGCTCGCAGACTAAAGTGCCTGCTTAGACAAGCTTAGGTAAGCTCAGGGACCTCATTTTGATCCCTGGCACCACATGCTGTGCCAGCCCCATCCCCAGGGTGGGCTAGCCTGCCAGAGTCTGGGTGTGGTGTCACACTCCTGTAATCTCAGTGCTGGGGAGGCTGAAAGCAGGAGGATCACTATGAGTCTGAGCTGCATAGTGAGACTCTGTAACAATCAAACACATTAAAAAAATGCTTTCAGACTCACACCATGGAACAAATGAGAAGCTGGATTTTGACGAGAGATGTGTGTGCCCACTGATGGTGGCTGAAACCCTGAAGCCTCCAGGGTGGTTTTGCAGTTTATTGTGGAGGTTCCAGTCCCTCTCCAGACAACTGAATCTGACCACACTGTGCTTGCACAGGAACTGCTCTTGGGCATCAGGATATTCTCTAAGGTGGCTGAAGAGTTTTATGTCTAGAAACTACATTTATTCATTTATGAATCCTCAGCAATTGAAATTGACTAGGGATGGGCCAAGCCAGTCACTCAATTCCTCTTAATTCCAATTTCTATGAATTTTTATTTTCTAGTAGTCTACTACTAAGAAATTAGATGTAGACCACCAACAGTTTGTATGACTGAGCTGGCTTTCAATCAGTGCCTTGCTTCCATAGGATAACTACTTAAAGGCATTTTTTTTCTTCCAGGTTCCTCAGTAGAGGACCAGGATTCCATTAAAAGTACATAGAATCTAGGTCCTTATGCTGCTTATTCCAAATAAAATACATAATGAATTATTAAGCACTTTTAAATTCAAAATAGTCATTAAATATTAATGAAGTTGAAAACATACATGGTGGCACAACTCTTTAGTCACTTAATTTTCTGTGGTGAGCCAGAAATACAGGTACACTGAATTGCTTTCTATCCCTAATGTGATGGACAAAGAAATAAATTGAGAGTTTGTAGGAGTTAGATTTCTGCTAGCCTAGCCAGAGAACACATAGGATTTGTGTTAGAGCACAGGGACTTTTCTTCCAGGTAAGATTAACTTTTTAAAAAATTATACCTCATGATTAACCTGAATCCATAAAAAGTATGGTAGTCTGGTGGCCAGAAAAGTTTACATAAATGGCGTCTTAAAGTACATCTTACAACTCTACATAAATGTCATCATAGAACCAGGGAAGTAAAAGATTCCCCAAAATACCAAGAAAATGTCCATAGTCCAATCTTGAGTATCTAATGGGTGATACTGTATTGCTATTTTAGCTTTTTTCCTAAAAGAAGCTGATATAGTTCAAACATTGGTCCATGGGTCAGTTGGATCATCAGTCTTGTTCCAAAAATGATCCAGCTAAGGTCCTGGGAGATAGCTCAGCAGTATAAGCCCCTGCTTGGCAAGTACAAGGTCATGAATTTGATCCCTGGTACCACCAAGCAAAAAATAAATGGAAATCATTCTATTCATCCTAGGTACTAAAGCTATTGATTTAAGGGCCAGCCAAATAACTCAGCAAATTAAAGTGCATGCAAGCAGGTGCAGGGGTCGGGGTTTGATCCTGGGACCTGCTGTGCTGGTCCTGGCCCTGAGATGGCAATTGAGACTGGGTGTGGTAGCATGAGCCTGTAATCCCAGCTCTTGGGAGGCTGTAAATGGGTGGATCACTATGAGTTCAGTCTAGCAGTGAGACCATGAACACCTTGTA